TAGTTCAATACCTTTATTGAACACATGGCCTGGGATACTCGAGACATTTTTCTTTTGATTAATATATGCCCATAAATTTTTCGGATCTTGCTTGATGTTCGTTTCCGCCGATACCATAAAGTTGATGTATGCCACTTTGATTTCTTTCTTAATGAGTCTCCTAAGATCATTAACTTGTGATAATACTCTATCGAATTTATTTTTTTTATAACTCTTCCATAATTGACGCTTACGTTTAATATAGCCAATGATAGATGGTGTATACCAAACAGGATAATATGTCGTAGTATTAATTGGAGTCTTGGGAATAAATCTATCTAAAAGGTCATAAAGAATGGAATAGAAGTAGTCGCAAGCAACATTGACATCTTTAATAACTAGCAGTTGAGACCAGTCTGTGTTATTCAGGTATCTGTATAGCTCTATATAATTTCCTTTACGAAAATTATATTTGGTCTTAATTGTCGAAAAGTTGAAATTCGACTCTTTCAAATTACCTGCAGGAACTTGTAGAATGATAGACAACGCAGGGTGGTGACCATCTTCATCAACTACTGGAGTATTGGACTGCATTACGGTACATTTCAAATCCTTAGAACAAAGGATTAAGTCTAAAAGTCTACCTTTAGCATTAGTTACTAAGTTCTGCTGCTGTAAATCATTAAAATTAATAAAATCACACAGTGGAATATTCGACCCTGTTAAATAAATCCCGTTGGAGACAAAAATTACAGCAAAATAAATTTGTGGACAGGAATAATAGACACTTGTCTAATAGGACTCTGTTTTTTTGAGAATACGTTAACAGCTGCACTCTATTTAGATTTCTTACTTACTTTGACATGAGAGAATTCCTTGACAACGATTTCGAGGAAATATGGGTAGGGAGACATGGCCGGCTCATTCGCCAGATTCAACACTCCTTGATTTTTGTGGGGGTACGAAAATTTTAAAGTCTTAATAACAAACCAAACAATTTGGAGAATCTTTAAAAATCGAATTTGAACAAAAGTGGGCAATACAAAATGATTACACGTGCATTAGTACCTAGTGGAGACATTTTGAACAATTAATTTTTATTAACAAACAAATTTTCTTCCAATTTTAATAGGACTTTCCCCAAACAAATATTTACAGCCGTTTAACTAATTAACAGAACTATCAGAATTGGAAAGGAAAAGTTCAGTAAAGAATCACTTTTATTTAAGTCTCCTGGAGGCTGCTGAAATTTTTATTCTTGTAAACTGATTGTCATTGAACTTGTTGAATGAACCCTTCGATTTCATTAATAAAACTTATAACCTCTGAATTAAACCCACGTGATAACTATACATATTAAACATTGTTAATATATTAAAACATGTGTATTTTTTATATTATGCATTGTTTGTGCAATGAAAGAATTTTGGTAACTATTCCTAGTGACGAATTTAAAGTTGCCCGAACTTCACTTCCAGGAAACGAGACTTTTCTGTTGATTGTATCTAAGCAAGCAGTCACGAAAGTACATCTACGTTGCGATACAAGCATAAACTCCAAAGTTTCATATTTCATATTTGCAAGTTTGCGGGATAATAAACGAACTTAATAGCAGACTTTTATAAACATACAAATCACGAATGGCCCACATTTACCAGTATCCATGAGAAATTGCGTGGTTCTTGGGGGAAGTGAGTATGTATTATGTTAATTCGGTTGCAATAAATGTTTTCCATTAATTTCGAGCAAAACAGTATCATAAAATATAATCGATAGCTAAAATTAGCTTTCTATTAAAAATCTACTTTCATGTTGCGTGAGATCAATCACATGCTATATCTAAATTAAAAGCAAATACGTAGGTTGTCAAAGTCGCAATTATATTAAATTAAGTCAAAATTATGCCTGGCTTTATGAAAAATATAATAACGAACTAGTGCTGATATTGACGGAAGGAATATTTTTGTCTCAAGTTTCTGCAGAAGACAATAATTCGCAATTTAAAATGTTAACTTAATTTTCAAGTGTGTCATAATCGCCTATTAGAATGCAAACTCGATGGAAATCTGCAAAGCGGTGAGATTAAACTTACCTGCTTTCGGCAAACGACCGTATTATTAAACTTTTATATCTGCAGTAACGAAGGACTTTATTAACTTTACAGTTGTATCAGAAAATAGAACTTACTCTAAAATTCTGAAAATTCGCGTTAATTGTTTATTGCTCCACGACTACCATCTATCGGAATCGATAAATCGTCAATACTAGCACTTGTTTTTCTTTTTTACCAGCTAAATCTCCATAAACCATAAAGCGCACTATGCACGAAGTTTATTATCCGGAAAACTGACTTTATATGGTTAGCCTATTTATTTGACTAAATGTGCAGTGGCCACAACTACCGCCACCACAATTCGGGGAGATCCCTAGTGGACCACGATTGCCAACATTTCCATATCTCATAAAACTTTGCCATAACCTAATCCCCCGCAATGTCACAGACAGAACGGAAACAAGTTTTGTTATGTCCGATACAGGTATGAATATTGTACAAACACCACCCCTTGCCACTCCAACTTTATCAAACCAGTTAAATTTACATTACCATTATTTGGCTTGCTAATGTTGCATCTAATTACAACAAAAAGAAAACTATCTACTGACTGGACAAAGAGAATCAATATCGCTTTCCCATTTTGAAACTTATGAATAAATACATGAAATTGTACGGCTTATGCTGGAAGTTTTCTATCCGTTTAAAAACACGTTCGCGCATAAAAGCTAAACATGACAGTAATGTGGCAGGTATTCCGGAAAAAATAAACAAAATAAAAAGTACGAAGTAAAAAATGCATGAAATAGTAAAGGTTGTACTGTTAAGTTTTAAACAGAATATTTCTGGAGCTGTCAACACAGAAAACTTTGTAATTTCGTTTCCCAATTGTGTTGTTAACGTTACGAAGTAGAGCAATAGCAACGCGATCATATAAAACCCTGCGATCGAAATTATCATGGTCGGAATGGTCTATAGAATGACCACATTAATTTTAGTAGTTAAATTCATTGCGCATGAACAATACAGCAGTAGTTAAAATCATCAGTCATGAAAAAAGAAACTATTAACCTTTTTAGCTGCTTTAAAACTATATCTACCAGGTATTTATCTCAACCAGTTACTTCAGAACTATTTTATGAAGAAAATACATTTAGCAATAAAGGAATCACAGCATAAATCTATCGAGAGACATCATAAAATGATTTTGCCGGATGTGAACACAACTTTTAATTTTTAAATAGCTACACTACTTCCTGTTGTTACTATTTTCTTTTTTAATATTCTTGTTTTCGCAGCTGAATTTATATTTATAAGCATATAACAGCGAATGTGAATGCACTGATAGAGAAAATTACGGAGTTCTCCGTTAACATAAATTAAGAAAAGCGCTAGAACATTTTTGAAAAGAAAAAGATAAGGATATTTGTAGCAAAATGGAAAGAAAAGATCAACGTGTTTAATTTAGTTGAATATTGAAATCATGTAGCACATATTATAAGTGCCAAATAATATCAGGTGAGAGGGTGGGTGGGCGGGGCTAGTATCTGTTAAGATAAGAGTGATTTTGGCAAATGAGATACCTTCTAGGAAAATAGAAATGTTTAAGACCGTACGAAAGATACGAATGAGGCGGCAAAATAGCTCCAACCAAAAGAGCTGCAAGGAAATCATAGAAGAAGCATGTAAAGCCTCAATGAAAAAGACATCAACCAAAAAAATAAGACAGAATATTGGTGGTCAGATGAAATAAAAGAGATGAGGAAAGGATGCATGGTGGCCAGAAGGAAATTAACTAGGAACGAAAAACGCAAACTCACAGAAGAGGAATCTCAAAAGTATATAAGAGAATACCAAGACGCGAAACGAACCCTGACAAGAGATACAGAATACGAAAACAAGACTATGGAAAAAGCTGTGTAAGGAAATAGACAATGACGTATGGGGGAACGGCTATAAAATAGCAGTACGGAAATTAAAAGGAGGCAAAAGGCCAGCCTTACTCACAACAGACAGAGTAAAAACCATTATAGAGAATTTATTCCCCACACATAAACCACTAGTGTGGACCAAACCTCAGACAGACAGCGTTCCAGAGTTTACAGAAGAGGAACTTAAAAGCGCAACAAAAAAATCTCCGAACAAAGAAAGCTCCCGGAAACGACGCTTTACCCCCAGAAATCATCAAATGATTGCGAATAAGGAACCTAAATACACACTAGGCTTGATGAACGAGTTGCTTAGAAAAGGAGAATTCCCCAATGAGTGGAAACTCGCAAAACTGTTGTTGCTAACGAAACCCGGAATAGACCCTACTGAAAGCTCTGTCTATTAGACGCCATTGGAAAGTTATATGAACTCTTAATACGTGAGCGTCTGCAAACCGAAATCGACAAAAATTGAGGTTTTAGCGACAAACAATACGGCCTCCGTAAGAAAAATCAACCCTACATGCCATACAGGAGGTGGTGGTCACAGCGAAGAAAGCAAACAGTGGTACTCGACACACAAAGAAACTTTACCTTCTAATAACACTAGACATTAAGAACGCTTTCAATAATGTTGAATGGAAAAGTATAATGCAGGAGCTAGCAGAGAAAAAAATTCCTTCATATTTAATGGCAGTACCACAGGGCTTTATATTAAGGCCAACACTGTGGAACCTACAATATGACAGCATATTAAATACGACAACAGAAGATGGAATTAAGTTCGTGGTATTCGCGGACGATCTCGCAATATTAGTAACGGGGGAAAGCAAAAAAGAGTTAGAACGAAAAGCAAATCGAATAATAAACAAAGTAAGCAAGGCGCTGGAAAACAAAAAGCTACCACTGGCCCCAGAAAAAGCAGATGCGTGCTCCTTGCAGGAAATAGAAGGGTAGAGGACACTGAGATTACAGTCCAGGTAGTCAAAATAAAGCATAAGAAAACTGTAAAGTACCTAGGAGTCACAATCGATCAACGAATGTGCTTCACGACGCACATAAAAGAAGTGTCCGAGAAAGCCGACAAGCTAGGGACGGCTCTGAGCCAAATAATGCCAAATGTTGAAGTACCGAATGCCTGCAAAAGAAGGCTAATTTGCTCGGCTGTGGAATCCATAAAGTTATATGCAGCCCCCGTATGGCATCTTGCATTAAAGAGGGAAAGCTATAAACAGGCAATGCTTCGAGTACACAGGAAAGCCGCCATCAGAATTAGTAGCGCCTATAGGACCATATTCAACTCAGCAGTGATGGTAATAGCAGGGACGATACCCATTGATATAAAAGCACGAGAAAGAGTCGTCGTATTTAAGAAAGAAGTAATAAAAACAGACGCTAGAACGGATAGTTTAGAGGAATGGCAGTCAAGACGGCGCATTGACAATACGGGAGCTTGGACAAGGAGATTAGTCCCAGAGGTAAAACCATGAATTCTAAGAAAACATGGTAAAACAAATTATTCTATTACTCAAGGATTCAGTGGGCATGGATGCTTTGGGGTGTACCTGAAGCCCATAGGAAAACAAGACAACGAAAGCTGTTGGTATTGCCAAGAAAGGGATACACCGGAACACACGCTGTTCATATGCCAGAGATGGGTTGAAAACTGCAACAAAGCGGAGACCATCATTAGAGGGAGAATTATGCCTAAACACTTGATGGAAAAAAATGCTCCAGAGACAAGCTGGGAGACCTTAAATGATAATATGATAACCAATATAATCAAGAGGAAAACCGAAGATGAAAGAAATAATGGGAAAGCAATATAACAAAATAAAAGGAAACACCATGATGTAATGCCTGGAAAGGCGGTTCCGTGATGTTTCTCAAACATGGTGAAGAAGACAGAGGAGTTTTTAGTTGGTAGGTCTGCCCCCGAACATCTGGGATGCCGGAAATCCAACACTACCTAGGCTTTCCTAGGTGCCTATGAAGGTTTTCTCCTCTGCACAAAAAAAAGGTCAGGTCAGGTCAAATCAGGTCAGGTCAAGTTAGGTCAAATCAGGTCAAATCCAAGAGAGCCAACCTGGTTCCAATTCCAAAACCCCAAAAACCTAACGAGGAAAAGAATAACTACAGACCTATTACTAGATTCGATGGCGAAGGTGTTTGAGCACATACTGAAGAATAGGATCGAGGAGGCACTGTGGATACTATGCCGGAGGGGGTCGAACTCGTCGCCTACACCGATGACTTGTCATCATTGTAAAAGCCAAAAAAGAGCCAGGCTTGACGCGAAGGGGAAACGAAACCATCAAAAGAACAATTAGATGGATGGAGAGAAACGGGCTGGAGGTTGCGTACCAGAAGACAGAGGCGGTAATGTTGAGCGGAAGAAAAAAGCACGGTGAGATATGCTTTACCAGTAGGGAACTAAAAGTAACCGCCGGTAGCTCCGTCAAATATCTGGGTGTAATTTTAGATAATCACCAAAGTTTGAGAGCCCACGTGGCCATGGTTATTATAAAAGCCGAAAAAAACAGTTTAATACCGAGCATGGGAGGAGCCGGGGAGTCCTCCAGACGACTCTTAGGGGCGGTGGGAGAATCCATCCTATTGTATGGGGCGGAAATATGGATAGGTGCCATGGGACCAAAAAGCACAGGGAGAACTTAATCAGGGTTCAAAGGAAACTAGCCCTTAGAACGAGTAGGGCATATCGCACGGTCTCCACGTCAGCAGCATAGATCTTAGTGGGGATGGTGTCAATTAATTTAAAGGCAGTGGAAAAGGCCGAAACCACGCGTACCCCTCAAAAGAGGACAGAAATGAGGGAGAGAACGATGGTCCTGTGGCAAGATAGATAGAAGGGGGAGACGAGAGCAAGCTGGACGAGAAGATTGATCCCGAACATAATACCCTGGATGCAACGAAGACACGGCGAGTTGACCTATCATCTGTGCCCAAATAACATGATTCACTTAATGCTTAGGGACGAAAGGTCTTGGAACGTAGTAGTTAAATACGTGGAGGAAGTAATACAAGCAAGAGAGGCGGAGAAAAGACGGAGCCAGTCTCAAAACTAGGAAGGAAAAGATAGAGCCCTTGCTTGAGCCCGATGTGATGCTAGCGCGATTCCAGGTTCAAGTGGAGAGGAAGAAGATCATGACGGAATATCCCAGAAGGCAACAACATCGGCCGAGCCTGTACGCGTACGGGTAAATGGTACCCGGACCCAAAGTAATTTAGGCTCGAGGTAATGCACCCACAGAAGGGAGCAATTCAGCCATAAAGAAGAAGAGGTTAGGTCAGGTCAGGTCAGGTCAAATTAGAATCAAAGCTTCTGCTAGGCTTGATGAACCAACTCCTAAACAAGGGAGAGTTCCCTAACGAATGGAAAATAGTCAAATTGGTATTGTTGTCTAAACCAGGAAAAGATCCAAACATAAGCTCAGACGCAAGGAAAACTGAACTTATTGGTCACGTTAGATATCAGAAATGCTTTTAACTCAATTGAATGGAGGAGCATCATGAATGCGCTTGGAGCAAGAAAAAACAGTCCCTACCTCATGAACGTACTGGGAAGCTGCTTTTCTAAAAGGTAAATAAAACTTGAAAACGAAGAAACCAAAGAAGTAAACAGCGACGTCCCACAAGTGTCCATACTGAGACCGACATCATGGAACTTAGTATACGATAAGATCTTGGGTGTGAAGAGAAGATACGTGGAAGCGGTAGCCTTCGTGGATGACCGCACTGAAGAAAATAAGACTATTGCTGGCACCGGAAAAAACTGAATGTGTCTTCCTGATAGGAAATAGAAGCACGTCCGACACAGAAATATAAATGGAGGGAGTAAAGATAACGAATAAGAAGTATATCAAATATATACCTGGGAGTAGAGATAGAACAAAGGATGAATTTCGCCACACATGTGAAAACGATAGCCGACAAGGCGGACGAACTATCTGCGCTGTCCCAAATACTACCTAACGTTGACGGCCCTAAAGCCAGTAAGAGAAAATTGCTCTGCTCGTTGGTAGAATCCATTATATTATACGCCGCACCAATTTGGGAGTCGACAGTCGACCATGAAAAAGGGAAAGCTACAGATAGCCGATGACGCGAGTGCACTAAGGATCAGTAGCGCCTATGGGACGATCTCAAACGTAGCGGCAACGGTTAGAGCAAGAATAACACCAATAGACATAAAAGTTCAAGAAAGAACCGCGGTATTTAACAAACAAATGACAAAAACAGAAGCCAGGGAAATATCCATGGAAAAATGGCAAACAAGATGGAACAAAGAAGTAAATGGGACATGGACAAAGAAGCTAATCACAAACATCAAACCGTGGGTCCTTCGAGGATACGGAGAAACAAACCATACAAGCTCTAAGGGGCCAGGGATGTTTTGGAAACTACCTTAGACGAATAGGAAAACGCTCACGCTCTGTAGGTGTAACAGGTGGACCAAATACAGGATATGTGCAGAAAACCAGATGGGAAAAGAGTTACGTGTGGAGAACCTCATTGAAACAATGCTAGACAATGAACAATACTAGGAAAGCGTTGGCGAGATGATAAACAGTATAATGAAGACAAAAGTGGAAGACGAAAGACAAAGGCAGAAAGCTTGAGAAGACAAGAAATAAGGAACAGATCCCTATGATATAATGCTCTGTAGTGCGGTTCCATAAGGGTTCGTTTGGGTCTATAGGAGAAGCAAAAGTATACAGGATAGGGATGTTTACCACGTCAGGGCTAAACCAGAAGGCGTTCCAACCGTGGTCGCAGGGAAGTCAATCTAGATTAGGGGCCACGGTGTTTGTTCTCAAATTTCACACCAACCTGTAAAGAAAAAGGTCAAATCAGGTCAATTTGAGACTCATCCCCAAAAATAATATGATGACGTCACTTCAAAATCGTACATAGTGAATGGGTTTTAAATTGTATGAAGTAACATAGTCCTACACATGTAGTTTATGACTCCGTATTGAGTTTTTAACCGAAACACCCAGATTTTTGGAAAAAAAAGCAAAATTATAAAAAGAGTGAATGGAATAGGGAGCGAGAGTTTTTATCCAAATAAAGGAGTGGGACAGGGATGCCCACTCAGCCCCGCATTGTTTGCAGCGTATCTAGGAAATATAGATTAAATATTCAGAAAAGCACAGACAGGAGGGGTGTTAGTGGGCAAAGAGAAAGTGTGGTCGTTGGCGAACGCAGATGATTTGGTGATTGTGGCAAATAAAAGAGAAGAAATGAAAACAATGATTAAAAATTTCGAGAAAGAATTATGTAAAAAAAGGAATTGGAAGTGAATGTGGAAAAAACAAAAATGGTGGTGTTTGGGAAGAAAGTAAGAAAGGAGAAGGAAGAGTGAGCATAAAGAGGGAAGAAGATCGAACAGGTGAAAGAATTCCAGTACTTGGGATATACATTAAAGGGCAATAACTCAGATAGAGCGCATATTCAAGAAATGGTCTGAAAAGCGATCAAAGGGATAGGGATAGGAGAGAGAAAATTTGGACATGAGAAGAATGATGATGTTTGATAGTTTGATCAAAAGTGTATTTATGTACGGAGCTGAGATTTGAGGATTGAGGGAATATGAAGAAATAGAGAGAGTGCAAGAAAAATACTTAAAATTTTTCGCAAATTCAACTTGAAATTACCCCCTAAGTTAATTTGTACCCCTACTGGGAATCTTATTAAGCCTGTAAGGCAAATAATAAATTAATACTACTATCATAATTATAAAACAAAATTTTTCAATTTAATTTTGAATATGATAGGTATGATAAATTTACTCCAAAATATTGATGACATCAGCTCAAAATTTTGCCGTATAAAGTCCTATCTAAATTGTAGAAAACATGAAAAGCCTGTACTTGTAATTTATCATTCCATTCATATTTTTACTTGCATATAAAAGGTGACTTAAAAAAATTCATAAATGCGTGAATTTATTGAATTTATTTTATTGATTTAATCAGAAACTACAAAACCGAATGCTTTGAAATCTTGGAGATGTTTTGAAGTTATCATAAGCATGGTCAATTTTTTCTCAAAGTGTATTATCATGGGCATCGTAAAATTTTGATCAAAATGTATTTGCTCATCCCCCTTAAAAAATTTTACCGAATAGATAGATAGGATTTTATCTAAAATTGCAAAATATGATCATGATGATATGATGAATATATCAGTTTATACTTGTAATTTATTATTGCATTCATATTTTTTAGATTTGCTTGGACAGGATGACTCAAAAAAATTCATGAATCAGTCAACTTATTTTATTGAATAAATCAATAGTTTGAAATTTTGCAGACGTGTTAAAGTTATTGTAAACCTGGTAAATTCTTAATAAAACATGTCTGTTTATTCCCCCCAAAAAATTCTACTCAAAATGTGCAAAATATGAAGAGTTTTTTTGTGATTTATCATTGTATCTTTATTTTTTTGTTTTGCTTAAAGAAAAAATTAATGAATGAGTCAATTTATTTTATTGATTAAATCAGGAACAGCTCACTCAATTTTCTTAGAAAATTTTAGGAATTCAATTCTGTTATTTTTAGTATTACATTGCACCAATCCAAGTTGATATACGTGTCCTTGTTTTTTCTTGCACCGGTAATAAGGTACACTGCGACTAGTTTTCTTTTGTGCTGTGACTAGGGTTATCCATGTTGATGACGACGTCATAAATTTTTTATTGGTGAAATTAAGAACAAGTCACCCCATTTTCTCGAAAATGTGAAGAATACGCAATAATGATAAAATAAGAATTATACATATTATTCAGAACATTTTGTTCGACTGCGATTTAATTAATAATAATTTTAGTCCTTGAGCGTCAGATTGCTATTACCTAGTGTTGAAGGTCAAAGGTTCTTAGAGATGGATTATTTTAAATTCAACATGGTGAGGCATCAGAATCTGACAACGGTTTGTCAGTCAGTAGCGTAACATGCACACTTCGGAAAGGGTTGGTTTTTAAATTTATTTTTTTTTAACACGCGGAAACATAAACTTAAGTGAACTGGTCAACACATTAGCACGAATGCGGATGAATCTATTAGGCACTAATCTAATCAGGTACAGGTAGTAAGTTCACTATGACAGAGAAATGATGACGGACGCCTCTGAGGGTGCGCCCATTCGAAAATGCTGCTTATGTTTCATTGTACTTCAAGAGCGATTTTTTAATGATCAATGATATATCGAGGACCACGGGCTTATTGACCCTCTTATGTTATTAGTTCTACCAGTCAAAAATACATTACCATAATATTAAATTAAATGATTATTAAATAAATAAATCATTTTGAACAATATTGAATACTGTGATAATTTAATTAGTAATTATTTTAATCAGCGGATATTAGAGGCTGTAAATAATGAAAAAACTTTACAGGCAAATTTTAATCCCGACACTGTGATAACTTTAAATGATCTACTTAATTTTTTACAAACGTTTATAGACAACTGTTATTATTTTAGTACGAGAGTTACTGGTTATATTATAGACGATTAATTTGATTTTAGATAAAGTTGAATAGTTAATTGTCAAACTTATTTGAAAATAATGTTTTATTCCAGTACTTTTGTGGTGACTGGCTGAAATATTTTTCATTAAAATTCAAAATCAGAAATTATCATTCATTTTTTATTATGAAGATACTCGCAGAGTGTTTACATTCTGCTTGTGTGATTCGACAACAATAAAAGCGGCAAAAATTGTAATTATTTTAAAAATAGAACGACTTAACTAAATTATTTTTTACCAAATAAGAGTTCAGCTCTTATTGCTGCCTAGAACAGGATAAAACCTTCAACTGTTTGTATCGTCATTTATAAACGTATAAAATTGACACACTAATGTATAACTGTTGAAATTAGTATGCATGAAATTTAAAAACTACTCTAGGTACAGCTGTTGGAACTTATACCATTCATTGATGACTAATGAACTCCGTCACCTGAGGGTTCTCAGTCATCACAGCAACAGACATAACAGTGTCGATTGTTGATTATGTGGCGTCCGTATAAGCTAGACGTTGTTTGATGATCTACTATATTTATCGACAATCAGTGGTCGTTTGGTTCATGACCGATTGTGGAAACACTTTGTGTACATATGTGACATTCGATATGATACTAAAACGTCTCTGTTTGAAGATGACGCCGTTTCGACGACAAACATGCATCCGACGTTCTCGTAAAAACACACAAATATCTTTGAAAACGCCGAAATGTGCATCTCCTATCAAAACCGAAAAAAAGAACTTATTTAACCAAAGCCACATAAATTCCCGATCTATCAACATTTATTTAACTACATTATCACTTTCTCGCGTTGAAACCTATTCATTTCCTTATCTGAACGTTTAGAACAAACGACAACGCTAAGGAAACCAAACATTTGTTACGATCGGTCCCACATACGAATAAAACGGGATTCCTAAATATGCGTTATCCTTCTCTGATCGATGAAAGACTGGAAGTAGATAGAAGCCCTGACGTCGCATAAATATCACGAAATATTTGTCGAAATTCCGCGACGTCAAGGTTTTCAGAGGTGAAAACTTATCTGTTGCTGCTAAATATAGTCAAGGGTAGATTTTGAATGAGATGAATTGGGAGCATTTATTTGAAACGACTATCTACATGTTGCCGTCGACTTAATACAAAAAAGTATTCACAGAAGATGTAAAGGCTGGGATATTTCGTATACTTAAGTAAAAAAACCGCTGATATACTGAAAGTTCCGAATCACCTTATAATTCTCAGGAGATGAATCGGATTAGCTTCAAAGATGATGGAAGATCTGAAAATAATCCTTTTCTACCGTCCCCTTTGTACCCAAGTTTAAATTTCTCTCGAGCTTTATTCCCCAAGTAGTTCGGCATATCATAATAACTAGTTCCTTGCAAATATCAGGAGATATTGAAGTGCAGTCATAAATCATTTATGGACTGTACGGACCCTTCTGGAGATATGTTCCTGATAACTATCAAGGGAGTAGGTATTTGGAAATAACTACGGTGGCATTCCTCTCAAAGGTTCTATTGTCGCTAAAAATGCGTCACATTAAGACTGACAGGTAATAAATTTTAACAATTAACAAAGTAGACGCAGAACATTTTGTTTTTTCGCTGCATTAAAGTTTAACGAGCGTCGAATATTTTCTTTTTGTTTCGTAACTCATAGAACACAAAGTGGATGTCGCCCGTAGACGTATTGCTGTTTGTCGTCTGAAATGTTTAAACAAGTAGTTTGTGTTCGAAACTACCTCGGTGAGTTTGTTTATGAAATTTTTGTACTTCGGGATTATGATGTGAACTATAACCAAATTTTGTGGATTGCTGTGTACAAAAAGATGAACATTTTAATACAAATTGCTTCTACGTAACTGGTTTACATTTACGTGGTAGGGTACATATCACACCCCTTCAAAAGGTTGTAATTAACTTATTGGCAAACATAACACATAATTATCTTCGTATGTTTGTATTTTTTTTATTTTTTGTGTTCTGCAAATATCAACAGAGATTTT